CACACAAGGTCATTCCTCTGACATTTTCTTCATAAACAGCCACACATACCCCTTTTCCACCAAAGCATTTTGAGAGCCGGAAAATTGGTTCCAAAGCGGCACCAACTCTTTGCTGGATTAGAACCATTCTTTTACCACGTCATGCTTACGTCGGGCTAAGACGTATGGCGATGTACACAGTGACGTAACGACGTCGTTCGCTGGGCTCTCTAGTCCATAGATATCCATAATAAAGGCTAGATGTCTTACGGCGGAGTCTCTATCGTCATCACCGGCGGCCATCTTGTCACAGGCAAGCTTTCTGGCGGGCTCTGATGTAAGATGAGTGATCAGCACGAACACTAATACTCTTATCTCGTTGAAATCTTGACGGATTTACAAACGGTTTGGTTTCTTACAAGCGTTATTAACGTGGCTATAATTCTGGATGATTATTTATTGATACACTCATTATTCATAAGTGTGCAGTGTCATAACCACATCTCTGACGTTTATAACAAACCAAACCGTTTGAAAATCGGTAGAAAATTGAGCAAGTTATGGTTATTTAAAAAGTACATGCACCATTAAAACACAATGTTACGAGTGAGCGAGCTGACTGTGACAAGATGGCCGCCAGGTGCGGACGTCGACCTCCATTGGCCAGCAGCGCGGACGAGACATCTAGCCTTTATTATGGATATCTATGCTCTAGTCAGTGGAAAAACAAACAGGTTCTGAGAAGGTTGAACCAATTTTGAACCAGCACCAGATCCGAACCTGTTCTTTTTTGGTGGAAACGAGGTAACAGAGGGTGTTTTAGTTTTAGTCGGGTAAGAGGGCGTTGAGGGCTTCTGTACTAAATCAGCGGATACTAGTACTAGTAACCGGAGTCCTGCCGGACGAATGAGCGCTGAGATTTATGGGAGGCGTAAAGGCATATAAACATTGACACACAGCACACACAGCTGCTGTATCTCTCTCCGCCATCACTTCACCACGGGTGTCCAGACTGTGCACACGTACCCTCGTCCAACCTGACCCGTATGTCAGCAGAAGCATCATCTCAAAAAAGATGAACACTCATGTCTTAAAAAAAAAAAAATGTTTTTTATTTTTACATTTTATTTTATTGCATTTCTAAGAACATACAGAATAAATCAATGCCACGGGTAAATACAATTGAGAGTACAATTACAGGTTATAAAGTCAGGAGAATATCATGCAAATGACACAGTGAGATAGTTTTAAAGGGATAGTTCACTTTGAAATTAATTTTTGATATGTTTTAGCTTACCTCAAGGGCATCCAAGATGTAGGTGTCTTTGTTTCCGCAGTATTTTCAATTTTGATATTTTTAGGTCAAACCGTTCTTGTCTGTCAGTCATATAATGCAGGTCTATGGTCACCGCCTCAAAGAGCATGCACAGAGAAGTCCAAATTAAACATGATTTAATGACTCGTAAATGTAAGTACACATTGATGGCCTAAGACACGAAACGAGCGGTTTGTGTGAGAAAACGAACAGTATTTATATCGTTTTTACCTCTTGTAAACACAGCCACGTCCAAGTGATCTGAGGGCGCCGGCGCTTCGGTCTGGAAGTGATCTCTCGCGCGTGTACGTCACTCATTGTTTACACAGAGATTTCGGAAGTGTTACCTTTCACTGTGAAGTCAAGTCATCTTCATTTATATAGATTGTTTCAAAGCAGCTTTACAGAGATAAACATACAATTTACGGTAACAGAGATTGTTTTGGCTTTATAGCGATTTTTGAATAATGTTATTTTCAGCTAAAGTTGGTTTTGATTGATTCACTTCCAGCAAAATTATCATTTGTTATCACATTAGGGGCCACTAAGACGACGGCGTTCTCTCTAAACAGACTTTAAACGCGAACCTGTGACCGGATGGCGTTCACATGCGCATTAAAAATTGATTCTATAGTTATATTCGTTTGAATATGTGTGCGCAGGTTTGTAATTTCCCTACAAACCATGCCTAAACAAACTACTTGTCTTGCCTATAAATTTGATACAGAAGATCAGTGTATGAAGATCTCAACATATTTAGATATACAGGAAATCACAATGGAAGACGATTTCGATATATCAACAGACAGCGTTGATTTTTTTTTTTTTTTTTTGGAAGAGATCCCTTCCAGACCGAAGCGCCCGCGCCCTCAGATCACTTGGACGTGGCTGTGGTTACAAGAGGTAAAAACGATATAAATACTGTTTGTTTTCTCACACAAACCGCTCGTTTCGTGTCTTAGGCCATCAATGTGTACTTACATTTACGAGTCATTAAATCTTTGAGGTGGTGACCATAGACCTGCATTATATGACTGACAGACAAGAACGGTTTGAGCTAAAAATATCAAAATGTAAACTACTGCGGACACAAAGACACCTACATCTTGGATGCCCTTGAGGTAAGCTAAAACATACCAAAAATTTATTTCAAAGTGAACTATCCCTTTAAGAGCTTTGGAGTTGCTGGATGTACTGAGTGTCCAGTTCCTTACAAAAAATTAAAAAGTAGGACTTAGCACCCTGAAATTTACATTTGTGTAAAAAAAAAATCACTAGAAAAATAAATAGGTTTATCAAAAAAAAATTCAAAGTTGTGCTGACCAAATAGAAGATATTTGTATAACAAAGAAAAACTCTGTGATGAAAATGTGCGAACAAAGATACAGAAATCCATGAACACTCATGTAGTGGTGGGCGGTATGACCATAGATATCCGTAATAAAGGCTAGATGTCTTGTCCGCGCTGCTGGCCAATGGAGGTCGACGTCCGCACTGGCGGCCATCTTGTCACAGGCAGCTCGTTCACTCGTAACATTGTGTTTTAATGGTGCATGTACTTTTTAAATAACCATAACTTGCTCAATTTTCTACCGATTTTCAAACGGTTTGGTTTGTTATAAACGTCAGAGATGTAGTTATGACACTGCACACTTATGAATAATAAGTGTATCAATAAATAACCATCCAGAATTATAGCCACGTTAATAACTTTTGTAAGAAACCAAACCGTTTGTAAATCCGTCAAGATTTAAACGAGATAAGAGTATTAGTGTTCGAGCTGATCACTCATCTTACATCAGAGCCCGCCAGAAAGCTTGCCTGTGACAAGATGGCCGCCGGTGATGACGATAGAGACTCCGCCGTAAGACATCTAGCCTTTATTATGGATATCTATGGGTATGACCATTTTTGCGTCACAGTTACGTCACGGCGTTAGCTGGAGGCAAAACAAAGGGAAACTGGAGGCAGCCAATACAAAAAGCATTGACCAAAAATGACCAAATTTGAAAGTTGAGACTCAAAAGTAAGCTGGTCTGTCCTGTCAGTCAGTGTGTTGTCAGTGTCTCCTCTGCTCCACGATGTGGAGTGGATGTGAGAGGGGCGTGGCTTGTCGGACATAGCAACAGTAACTAAAGGGGGCGGGTCTTTGCGATTACGTTGAGATCTCGTCTAGATTTGGATAAATTCCCCAGCACACACATGATGTGAATGACCTCTTGCTCAGTCGCGCCACTGCAGTGGTTGGGTTGGTGAACAGTCTTACTTTAGCAGTGTACTTACTCAAACTCACTGGCAACACTTCCAATGCCTCGGTTCAACCATGTGTTCACGTCATGGTGACCGGCTCATATTAAAGGTGCAATATATGTGATTCTCTACAGAATTTGTTTTGTTATTTGGTTGAAAGTCCCTCATATCCTGATAGCATTAAGCGGTCTTGATGTATTTTTATAAATAAATATATATCGTCCGTGGAAGGCGTAGGACCATAAAATGTTTGTTCAATCATCGCATTCGGTCCAAAAAAAAGAAAGTATTCAGTTGTTTACAGTGGTTGTTGTAGTACTGTTACTCACTGTAGTGTAAAGTTTTCTCACTGGTTAATGATACATGGTTTAATCCAATAACGTTGTCTCCGGTCGTCTCGCTTCTGGTCTGTGTGTGCTCGCGTGTTTTAGACTAGGCGTGGCTTTAGACGGCAATTTGCAGGGAGATCGTATGCTTTCAATGCTAGCAGGCTAAAGTTAGCATTTCCCAGATCACCTACTGCACCTTTAACAAAGGCAGACTTGTTTTTATTTAATTTTTTCAAGTTTTAATATATTGTTTATTTTATCGTAGATTTATTTAATTGTATTAACTACATACGATTTTAATTTTCAGTTTATTTATTATAAATATTTTTTATTATATATATATATATGAGAAATGTTTGCGACATTGTTTTTATTTGTTGTGTATTTACATTTGTTGTATATATATACAGTATATATATATATTAACAAAAGTAAAATGTTTATCTTTTTTTTATTTGTAAAGTTTTAATGTACATATATTTTGTTTATTTTATCATAGATTTATTTCGTTTTATTTTATTAACTAAATAAATATATCTATATATATATATAATATTTAAAAAAAATAATATATCTATATATATATTTTTATTATTATTTTGTTTGTGTGTGTGTGTGTGTGTGAGAGAGAGAGAGAGTGAGAGAGAGTGTGTGTGTGTGTGTGTGTGTGTGTGTTGTTTGTTTAATTCTATCCTGGTCTTATTGTGAATGATTCATTAGGTCACGTTCAGAAATTAATTCAGTGATTCTCTGGGAAATACTTCATATACTTCTGTATAGTAAATGTTATGTTGACTATAAACTATAAGCTGTAAACTAACACCTTCTCTTCTCTTCTATATCTATCTATCTATCTATCTATCTATCTATCTATCTATCTATCTATCTATCTATCTATCTATCTATCTATCTATCTATCTATCTATCTATCTATAAAACATTATTACAAGTACTGCATTAGACTAAAAGGGTCATAGCACTTACACATTGTTGTCCTATTGTTAGTTTAACTGCTTCTATTGTTCTCCTCATTTGTAAGTCACTTAAGTTGGATAGTTGTAAGTGGATAAAAGCGTCTGCTAAGTGACTAAATGTAAATGTAAACCTTTTCTCTTTCTTTTTTTCAGGACGGAATGAGCTAATTGCTCGGTACATCAAGCTTCGAACGGGAAAGACACGGACCAGGAAACAGGTACAGAAATCTTAATAATATTTGGTTATTGGATCTTGTTTTCCTGTCTAAATTTAATTCATACGCAAAATTGTGTCAAATATTACCACGTGTTTTCAGAGAATGTTTTTCGTATACCATTGGCAATGTTTTTTCTTAATGTTTAAAGCATGAACATCACTAAATTTGTGCTTAAAACAAGAAAAAAGGGTAAGAAAATTAAGCTTAAATCAAGATATATTCTCTGAAATATTCTCACGGGTTTGATTCACTAATGAAATGCAAGTCACTTCAAATAAAAAAAAAAAGAGCTTTTCAAGTGAATTTATCTTGTTTTAAGAATGTTTAGATATTTTCATTGGATGCTGATGTAGATTTTTTTTTTTTTTTTTTTTTTTTTTTTTGCAGTGTATTTGTATATAAATATGTAAAATGCCAACTTGTCCCTTCTATAACTAAGTGGATTAAATTGGTTAATTACTTTTATTTGACCGCCATGTCACACATTAACAGCAACAGGAAGTACAGCAAATGTCAGGCTGGGATTTAGAGATGGGATTGTCCTGTTAAACTCCCAAACAGACTTTCACTGAGTGTAAATGTTTGGCCCCCGAGGGCCTCCATGCTGAAATGGACTTGGGCGGTGTGATTTATGGCACGCGGATCGGATATCGGTGTGTGTCTTCAGCACCTCTCTCAGTCCTGCTCGTTAGACCCACAAACAACTGCTGGGGGTTTGGGATCCGATGGCGTTCCCGCCGGCATCCGATAGCGCATGATGTCACTCAGGCCTTGTCACATACTGAGTCTTAAGCCCTCTGAGAGAGTTGAGGTGAGCCGGGGGCCCGAGAGGAAAAGCTATCACTAAAAACAAGAGGAGAAACTAGAATCACACCTGATATGTGAACAGATAAAGGTCAAAGCAATCGCTGACATAAAACAACAGGTTTGCTTTCTTCTTGCACACTAATCGACAAAAGTTTTGACTAGTTTAGATGATTAGAAATCAGTCATGTACCATCACTAACAGTTTTAAACCTTACTTGAACAGGACTAGTTCTTCATGAGGTGGTTAGGTAAAGTTTTTCATGAGTGCTTAATCCCATCCGAATTTGAAAACAAAATTTGTTAAAAATGACTTTTTTTTTCTTTTTCTTTTTTTACTTAAATTTTTTAATTTTTATTTCTTGTTCAATTTATTTATTCAATTTTTTATTTTAATTTAATGTTTTAAATTTTAATTTATTTGTTATTTTAATTTTGTTTTTTTATTTTAATTTAATTTTTTAATTTAATTTTTTTATTTTAATTTGACTTTTTATTTTTAATTTAAAAAATGTCCTTTGCCGAATATAAATCTTATTCCTGCTGCATCTTCATTGTGTATTTATGATGCATTCAAACAAGTTTGGGAAGTTGTTATTATGACGTCAGGTGCGTTCAAATCACGGCGTTTGGAAAAAGATGCCAATGTTGATTTTCTACAAAAAAAAAAAAAAATACAGCAAAGATTTTTTTAACTCTACTTTTACAAAAATGATGAATAAAGAATGTGCATCAAGTGTGTTTTGCATTTTTAAAGTTTTTATTACCGGTACATGTATGAAGGTGCAAAATACTATCATATTTTGTACATACAACTTTATGGATTTCGTTTTATTGTAAATTAAAAAATATAATTATATAATATAATATAATTAATCGCTGTATTCATTGCAGCCGACATGTTTTCTCATCGACGCCCCAAACTCGGTTACTATAGCTAAAAAAAAATCCAGAGCACTCGTAATTATGAAATAATATCATATATCATATATTATATAAGTAGAATATCAATGTCAAAAAAATATTCAAATGAAATTTAAATAAATGAATAAAATAATATGCATGCAGCCAGAGCGTCCAGTACACATCCATAACCTTAATAAAAAACTCCAAACATTGAACTAAATTGAGTTGAATAATAATTCTATTGTCTTCTGTCGAGCAGCTGAAATTTAATTCATTTCATAATTGAAGTTTACAAAATTAACACTGTTATTTTCCTGTTTATTACTGTGAAGCTGCTTTGAAAATCTGAATTGTATAAAGTGCTATAGGTCATATAAATGTGACTCGATTTGAATATAGACTGTAAACTGCATTTGAGTTTTGTTACCTATGACATAAATTCTAACCAAAATTAGTTTTTCCAGTGTTCAATTTCACTCAGTATTCAATAGGCCTACCATATTTTTTGCATGCATAATGGTGAAAACTTTGCAACTTACATGCCAACTGACTCTCATTGGAGTATTAGTAGACTGTTAGGTTCGAGTTAGTAGAATAAGTTGACATGTAGTTGCAAAGTTACTTATAGTCAGCAGAATGTCTTAAGTGGACTGTCGAAATAAAGTGTTTTAAATGAAAAGATCAGCCAAAAATCCCTTTCCCGCAGGTGTCCAGTCACATCCAGG